CCCCCCCCCCCCCGGCTCTCAGTTGGCCTGAGGTGCAGGCAGGTGGCGGAGCAGCCCTCCCTCCGGCGCCTGCCCCATGGAGAGCCAGCCCCTCTGCTCTGCTCTGGCGGCAGGGCTGGGCCACACTGATAGTCTCCAGGGTGCCTTTATCGGGCCGCGGCGAGGGCTCCAGCGAGGCCCGGCAGCAGATCAGGAGTGCGCAGGAAGCCCCGCCGGGCCTCTTCTAACTCAGCTCCTCCCTCTGGCAGAGGCCCCGCAGCCGGCCAGCACGATGCCCCTGCCCGGCGTCCCGCTCCTTCGGCACCTCCTCTTCCTCCTCCTCGCCGTGGCTGCATCCGCGCAGGTGGACGAGCTGAAGGTGATGACCCAGACGGGGGAGGTGCGCGGCCTCCGGATGCCGGTTCTCGACGGCCACATCGCGGCCTTCCTGGGCATCCCCTTCGCCGAGCCGCCGGTGGGCCGGCTGCGCTTCCTGCGCCCTGAGGCCATCAAGCCCTGGAGCCGCCCGCTGGAAGCCACCTCCTACCAGCACGCCTGCTACCAGCTGGTGGACAACACCTACCCCGGCTTCCACGGCACGGAGATGTGGAACCCGAACCGGAACATGAGCGAGGACTGCCTGTACCTGAACATCTGGGTGCCGTCGCCCCGGCCCAAGAACGCCACAGTCCTGGTCTGGATCTATGGGGGCGGCTTCTACAGTGGGTCCTCCTCGCTGGACGTCTACGACGGCCGGTACCTGGCGTACACGCAGAGGGTGGTCTTGGTCTCCATCAGCTACCGGGTGGGGGCCCTGGGCTTCCTGGCTCTCTTGGGGAGCCAGGAAGCGCCGGGCAACATGGGGCTGCTGGACCAGCGCCTGGCCCTGCAGTGGATCCAAAGCAACATCCAGCACTTTGGGGGCAACCCCAAGGCAGTCACCATCTTCGGGGAGAGCGCCGGGGCGGCCTCGGTGGGGATGCACCTCCTCTCCATCCAGAGCCGGCCCCTCTTCCAGCGGGCCATTTTGCAGAGCGGCGCCCCCAACGGGCCCTGGGCCACCATCACCCCGGCAGAGAGCCGGCGCCGCGCCACCCTGCTGGGCAAGAGGGTGGGCTGCCCCTTCACCAACGACTCCGAGCTGGTGGGCTGCCTGCGCTCCAAGACTCCGCAGCAGCTGATCGACGAGGAGTGGTCCGTCCTGCCCTCCAAGAGCATCTTCCGCTTCTCCTTCGTCCCGGTCATCGACGGAGACTTCTTCCCCGACACGCCGGAGACCATGCTCAGCACCGGCAACTTCAAGGACACCGAGGTGCTGCTGGGGGTCGTGAAGGACGAGGGCACCTACTTCCTCATCTACGGGGTCCCCGGCTTCAGCAAGGACAACGAGAGCCTGATCAGCCGCGAGGACTTCCTGGAGGGCGTGCGGATCGGCGTGCCCCACGCCAACGACATCGCCGCCGAGGCCGTGGTGCTGCAGTACACCGACTGGCAGGACGAGGACAACCGGGAGAAGAACCGCGAGGCCATGGACGACATCGTGGGCGACCACAACGTCATCTGCCCGGTCATGCACTTCGCCGCCCGTTACGCCGAGCAGGGAAACAAGGTGCACGCCTACCTCTTCGACCACCGGGCCTCCAACCTCATCTGGCCGCCCTGGATGGGCGTCCCCCATGGCTACGAGATCGAGTTCGTCTTCGGGCTGCCCCTGAACGACAGCCTCAACTACACCGCCGAGGAGAAGGAGCTGAGCCGCAGGATGATGGGCTACTGGGTCAACTTTGCCCGCACGGGGTAACCGGGCCGGGGAGACAGCTGGGCGGGCACCGCTGCGGGCAGGGGCTCCCCTGGGAGGGCCACCCGGCAGGAGGGACGGGGCCACAGGGCGAGGGGCCCGGGGCGGGCAGCGGGGGCAGGCGCGGACAAGGAGCCGAGAGGCGGCTCGGGGGACGGAAGGGCCAAGGGGGTCCCGGGGCTCAGGTGGAAGCTGTTACCATGCCCCAGTGATGGGTGCTAGCAAGGCGGGGGAAGATGGGCTGCGTGGGTGGACCAGTCCCTACTTTATGATATTGCCTCAAATTCTGATTTATTTTTAGCAGCCAGGGTTTGGGGGTTTTTTAATCACACTAAAACTACTTGTACAATATCTGTTCATTGATTGAGTTCTAATACTTCCAAGCCGCTTGATATAATACAATCTGTAAGCGGTATTTCAAAATATTTATTTGGGTTTTTTTGTTTGTTTGTTTTATTTTCTGTGCCACCAAATGGCGGCAGCTCTCTGGGCAGTTCACAAGAGTTTCCCAAATATACCAAACATTTACCACCGTCTCAATGTGCGGTTCCAGTTTCGGCTCCTGTGTGGCACTTCTGTAGCGCGTTTGCCTGAACAGGCAAGGCAAGGAGGGGAGAAGCCAGCTGGGATTGTCCTTCCCTTTTTCTTTTTGAGTAGAGTGGGAAGGGGCCAGGAAGGCCATCAAGTCCACCCCCTGCAGTGCAGGACACCACATCACACCATCCCACTCAGGTGGCTGCCCAGTTTCCCCCTGAATGTCTCCAGTGTGGGAGAGCCCCCATCTCTCCGGGCAGCTGGTCCCACTGCCGTCTTGCTCTGACCATGAGGAAGCTTTTCCTGATGTCCGGCCTGGATCTGGGTTGCCACAACTTGAATTGATTATTCTGTGTCCTGCACTCTGGCATCAGCGAGAAGAGACCTTGACCTTCCTCTGTGACAGCCTTTGAGGTCCTTCTAGAGGGATCTCATATCCCCCTCAACCTTTTCTCCTCAAGGGTGAACATGCCCAGTTCTCTCAGTCTCTCCTCACAGGGCAGAGTTTCCAAACCCTGATCATTTTTGCCACCCTCCGCTGGACCCTTTCTAATTTACCTGCATCTTTCTGAAATCTTGGTGCCCAGAACTGGACACAGGACTCCAGGTGAGGTCTGTATGGGGGAACTACTACTTCTCGTGATTTGGAAGTACTTCTCAATTATTGAATAATCCGTTCAAGCTGTGGCAACCCAGATTCAGGCTGGACATCAGGAAGAGAAACATAGAAACAGAGCGAGTCAGAAGGGGCCTCCCGGGCCATCTAGTATGACCTCCGGCACCAGCCGGCTCCGCTCACGACATGCCCACCATGTGGACGTCCAGCCTGTCTTTGAACACCCTCACCAATGAGGCCTCAACAACCTCCCGAGGAAGCCCATTCCACACCCTCGGGGTCCTGACTGTCAGGAAGTGCTTCCCGGCATCCCAAGTGAACCTTGGCTCCCTGAGCTTGGCTCCGTTGGGGCGTGTTCTGCCTTCCTCTTCCTCACGGCCAGAGCAAAGGGGCAGCGGGACCAGCTGCCTGGAGGCGTGGGGGCTCCCCCACACTGGAGACATTCAGGGGGAAACTGGGCAGCCCCCGAGTGGGATGGTGTGAACTGGTGTCCTGCACTGCAGGGGGCGGACCTGAGGGCCTTCATGGCCCCTCCCAGCTCTACTATCCTGTGATTCCGTGAATGACCAGACCTCTGGGCAGGACTGCTGTCCGGGGGGGGGGGGGGCGCGGCAGCCGCCCATTTGCTCCTTCTTCACACAGGGACCCCACGGATCCCTCCGACAAGGATGGCAGGTGGCCCCTCTACACGCCGTCGCGGCAGGAGTACGTCAGGCTCAACACCCAGCCGCTGAGCACGGACCGCAGCCTCCGCGCCCAGATCTGTGCCTTCTGGAACCGCTTCCTGCCCAAGCTGCTCAACGTGACAGGTGAGCCGGCGCCTCTGCCGGGGTGGATGGGACCAGCAGATCCCGGCAGCCAAGCGGCGGGTCTGCTCAGCTTCGGCCCCACGTGCCCTGGCCGCTCCCTCGGCCCCCCGCCCCCCACCCCCAAGGCAGGCTGGCCCACTCTCCTCACTTCCTGCCACTCAGGGTCACGCCTCCCGGACCGGACGGTTTTGCCTCCTCAGCTCTGGCCCGCTGCTGGGGGCCTTGTGCGCCCCCCTTCCCCTTCCGCAGCATCCTCGCCGTCCTGTCACGGAGCTGGGGACGATGGTGCTCAGGTCCAGGAGGCAGGCTGGGAGAGCCCCTCCGGCCCGGGCGGGGGCACACCAGCTTCCCCTGCGGGGGCTTAACGCCACGTCTCTCCTCCTCCTTTGTAGAGTCCGCCAGAACTTGCACTGATGCCGCTTGGGGGCCCTCCCCCACACACGCCCCACTCCTCCCCCTCCTCCTCCTCCTCCCAGGGCACCTCCTGACTTGAACACCCCGCAGCACGGAGAGGAGAGGGTGCCCTGCACCTCGGGGGGACCCCTTGGGAGAGCACGTCTGCATGGATTGAGCTGCTCAAACGCTGCCGCGCCGCGAGGCCTGGCCCGGCCCGTGCCCAGGACGCTGGGCAGGCGGCTGGGCACCCGCGGGAGCTGCCGCGCGGAAGGGTGGGCAGCGGGTCGGAGTCGCAGACACACCTGTGCTTGGGAGGGGAGAACTTCCAGGCTGGCTGAGTTTCGGGATTGACTGGGGAATGCTGCGAGCAACCTTGACTTGGAGTCACGATGGCAGACCGTGGGGGGAGGGGTATCTGAAAAGATGCCCCCCCCCCACCGTGTGTGTCGGCCTTTCCCTTGGCCCGTCCGCACCCCCACCCGCCCGGCCGCACCTCGTGCTCGCCAGTGCTGCGAAGCTCAGCGCTGCGGAAGGGCCACGGATCCGGCAGGCCACCGCACCGTGGGCAGCCCTGGGCACGGCCTTTCCACGTTCACCGCCACTGCCAGCCTGGCCTCCAGACAGCCACAGCCCGGACGTGCAGGCCACCGTGTGTGGGTCGAGGGGGAGGCCGTTTCCAGGACAAATGGCCGAGACGCACGGAGGTGCCCCCCCGCCCCTGCCCCCACGGCTGGCCGGGGCCGCCCTCGCTCCGGGAAGTTGCCCGTGCGGGGCTGAGTCAGCAGCAGAGCCAGGTGGAGGAAGAGCCCCGGGGTGCCGGGACTGGGCGCTGCTGCGGGGGGAGAAGCCCCAGGAGACGGGCTCACACCCCTGCCCACAGCCAGGGCCAGGCCTGCTGACCCCACCCCAGCTGTGCAACGGGGGCGGGGATGGCCTGAACCTGCCTGCCGCTGGCCAGATGTGCCGTCAGCCGTCCCCCGGCTCCCTTCCGACTGTGCACCAGAAGAGAGGCTGCTGTATTGTACGCTCTGTACGGGGGGGTGGAGAAGTGGGCGCCGTTTATGAAGCTCACCCAGGGTGCCCCTGGCCTGGGCTGCTGGCGTGGCAGCCCAGGCAGAATGACCCTGCGGGGCAAAACCGCTGCTGAGCCCGCCTCCCTCCCTGCCGTAAACCGGCTGAAAGGGAGCCCGCACTGCCCCCTCGGTAGCTGGCCCCCCACCGTGGCCAGGAGCAGGGAGGTGGCCGTGGGGGGCGGGGGAGCGGCCCGGTCCAGGCCTCCCGGCCTGGGGTGATGCTGCAGCTTGTCCTGCCAAAGCCCTCGGCCCCAAACCACTGCTCCAGCCTGGCTTTCCTTCGCTCTCTCTGCCTCCTTCTTCATGCTAACCCCTCTGGACCAGCGCAAACCCTCTGTGCAGAACTCCCCCACCCCGGTTCCCCCCAGGGCAGATGTGAGCAGCTGCAAGAGTTCGGGGGCCACTTCCCCACCGCCCGCCCCATGGCTGAGCTCCGTGGGCCGCCATGCAGTCGGCGGGACCCCGTCTCCTCCGCAACCCAGCCATGGCGTTCAGGGCCAGCGTGGCGTGGCAGTCGGGGGGTCAGACTGGGCCGGTGAGCTCTGGGTCAGGATCCTCACTTGCCTCGGAGCTCAGGGGTGACTTTGGGCACTCGCAGATTCTCCGCCTGGCCCACGTCACAAGGCCGTTGCTGCGAGCACAGCAGGGCGGGGGAGAGAAGAGAAGAGCAGCAGCTGGGCAGCCCCCCCCCCCCCGGGGTCCTGGGAGCGGGGAATGTGACCCCCAGCCAGCGAGGCTCGCTTGTCTCGCTGCGAGAGGCGAATGAGGCTAGCAGCAGGCTCTTCATGGAGGCCCCCCCACCATCCTCA